GCGGTGTATCGATTATTTCCTCGAAATTAATATATCTATGTACAGGGTGTATACTAAAACAATTAGACAACTTGCCTTCGTTGCCTATGAGCGGATAGTCAACTCAGGCTTCGCCTTCGTTGACTATTCGCTCATAGACAACTCGGACTCGTTGTCTAATTGTTAAATAGAAATACGCTTCTTGACCAATCAGCACGCGCGTACTACATATATGTTATATTATAAAATACTCTGTATCAGCTCATTATAATGAGCTCGCGTTTGCGTCGTTAATCTTAAACTTAAGCCTGCCATTTTCAACGTCAGCATAATTCGTAGCACTATAATTGAGCTATAATTTTAGAGCTTTCTCGGAGAGCACGTACTTATTTATAATGAACAAACTTGTAAATAGGTTAATTTCTTGTGCGATCCCATACTGTATAAAATTATATAATATCGAAAACATCAAACAATAATTTTAATAGCGCATTTGGGTGCCTCAAAGGAATGTATACATGCTTTTTTACATGACGTTTATACATAATTATATCTTCATGTATGTTAGAAACAATGTTGCAAATGGCGAGGAAATGAAGCCACCATTTTGTTGTGTGAGGTGTTGAGAATCTTGAACAATATATTCTAAACTCTTCTGCACTTATTTCTGACTTTCAGTTCATGTATTCATTGATATGATAATTTTGTTTCATCTATATATAAGACAATTAAAGTGCATGCATCATTGGGAATGCAAATTATTACTGAGAAAGCACAATTATTCTCGCAACTTCCAAGCACAGCGACGTCGTAATTGTGACTAGAAAGTGTATCAGGCACGGATTTGTTCAAAGTTTATTATGCATTTTATCTCTTATTAAAGGTAAGACAAATTCTTTATTCATACGCTGATTCTAGTTGATGCGTAAAAACGATTTTCAGCTTGCAACAATTCCAAATGCATAAACCCAGATATGTCAGTGTATCGAAATTATTTTTGCAGCGATTTTATGTGCGACTTTCTTCTTTTGATAGATGTGAACGAGTGAATTAGTTACGGATGTTGAAATAGGAGTTCGTACACATCTATCAAAAGAAGATAATCGCGCATAAAATAGGAGCAAAAAACGCAAGTGTAAACGGGCCTTAAAGCAGTTGCTTTCTCGCTGGATGAACACACGACCGGCAAGATTCTGAAATTCCTAAGTGCAATTATAAAAGGGCTAAGTATCTCACTATATTACACATAAACTAAAGGTTGAAATTAACAGTGATATCTTTTTATTATTATTAGAATTGCATACATGCAAACAACATGACAACACTGTTATTTTTAGGGAGTTATTTTAACACCAAAAAAGGGGTCAAAAAAAAAGGTTCAAAATGAGTAGCTTTTTGGAGTAACAAATAACTCCACTTCTGGTGTTATAATTTAACACCGCTTTTAGAGTTAATTTAACTCCAATTCTGGACTTAAAACATAACTCCATTTTTGGAGTTAAACACATTTAACACCGTTTTAGGTGTTAGGCCGGTTTTCTACTACATAGGTAAATTACTTCGATCGAAGGAAATTTTTCGCTTGATTTTCTTTTCAATTGTGATCTATCAAGTAAATCTGCTTTGGTTTAATTTCACAATTGAAAAGAGAATTAAATTGAGCGAAATATTCCGTTCCATCGAAGATTTCCACCTATAATACTGATCGAGTCATCAAACAATGTAGCACAAATATCGTTATTATATTATTATAATATTGAATACATGAGATCAATTACATTTCTGTTTGAGTACAGCAAGTCAGCTATAGGCATTAAAGGAATTGCTTCTATAGTATAGCTCTTTAATACTTTTTATTTACACTTTAACACACGTGCACATTTGCAAAAAATTTAGAAAATGTTTTTAAGTGGAGTAGCATGCATGCATGAAGCATAATGGTATAGTCATTAAGACACTGGCTGTTCAGTTCTACTAGAGTTCTACTAAGCTAAGACTCACTCTACCAAGATGATGACCTGGCTGTATAAGCAATTCTGATCCACGTTTCTTCTTTTACAATTTTCCTCGTAGTAAAATTTGCAGAGGTTTTCTGTTGTGCCAATTGCACGAAACGAGTCTTCATGCTACGAACAAATAGAAAAATTGCATGTATATATGAGTGTAAATTCGAGTAGTGTGCTTTGTATGCATATAACAGAGCACATTGTTCAACAGACCTTAATTCAAAATCTATATGTTCTATGTGATCTACACTGCATATATCAAACAAATAAGCACAAACATGTGAGTATAAGGAAGGAATAATTTCAAGTAACTTAGTTAGGATTAGCTAATATAAAAAAATAGGAAAAAAACTCCACATACCTAGATTTGCTGCATCATGATAAGTTGCTTTGTCCATTGAGAATTGAACAGTTATTTTGGGGTTGTTTTCAACATCGTTTCGCTAGGTTAGGGCCTGGTTAGAGCTTTCTTGAATTGAAATTTGTGTTTGAGTTTCCCATTGGCATTGCTTCTTCTACCCTCTACCCGGCATTGTGGACCTGTGTCCTTCTACTGCTTCTAAAGATACGAATGCGAATTGTTATAGACTATAAAAATATCCCAGGAACTTTAAGGTAAATATCGGAGGCTCGCGATATCATGTATTCATGCTGATCAGAAACAAAAAAATACTTTGCCGTCAGTTTTGCGACTGAAAAACTCTTTTGGCAACAGCCCCACAGAAAAAATGAATCGACCAGCATAAAAAATTATAGAAATAACTATTTGAAAAACATTTTAGAATCAAACTATAAGAATCTTGCAATAAATTTGTCTGTTTTTGCAGGCCAAGTTAACACAATAAAAAGGCGGGAAAACTAAATGCAAGAAAAACGTCAAATATTTACCTTGAAATAGCTCGCAGTAGTCGCCAAATCCATCTTTTCGCATCCAAAATCGCAAGTCCTCTACTAAGTTTACAATTTTCGAATGAAAAGTACCGAGAAAGAGAACTTTTTACGGAGCGAGCGAGGCTTCTTGTGTACTTTGCAAATATTTTGACAAAGAGAAAGACCCGGCCACTGAGCTGTATAAAGACCTGAAGTCTTAGCATAGGTGTCCCTGACAATTCAACCCACATCATGAGGTTTTCTTTTTCTGCATTAGTTGACTCAGTTTGTCTTGATTTTAAAATCAACTGTCAAAATTTAAAATGAAAGTTAATGTTAGGATACCAACACTAATGTTTTGTGCTTTATTAACTTATGAACATATTCTGTGGTACCAATTAAACAAACACTTATTTAGAACTGCAGTTTAATTAATCTATGATTTGATGTTGTTGGTGATTTTGTATAAATGTTATTGAGGTCTCCAAGTGGGACAATGGAAAAGACAAATAAATTAACTGTTTTTCATACATGAAAATCTAACTTTCATGAGCCCTCAAGAATGTTAATTCAAAAGGTCAAATATTTCAAAATTGACTTCTGATTAAAACCTGCCTTGCAATACATATTGTGTATAATTATAGCTCTAAATTATCTGCACAGTTTAATGCTTCTTTGACAAATAATATGAACACAAAATAGTTTATACAAAAAATTTTATTTATAGCCTTATGAAAATATAGCTTCATAATCATATATAACATGTTTAAGGGTCAGTTTTGAGAGATGTATTACTTAAAATTTTGTAGCATAAAAGACCACATTTGATATGGAAGACTGCAAATCACCAAGCTTTTAAATGCCACTTAACTCTCACATATATATGTTATCCAAAAATGCAGCAATCAAATATTTATAGCACTTCTTGGTTGTGTAAATAGCTAATGTGCATTTGAGCATTACACTCAAATATTGACCACCTTTCAGACAATTATTAAAAAGAACCAGGAATGGGTTTTACGATATTACAATGTCCCATATTACCTGGTTATTTTAAGGTGATCCTGAATGTAAAAATAAAGAAGATTCATTGCAAAATAATTAACAAAAAACAGGAAAATGTTTAGTATTTGATTTATTATAAACTGAAATAAACAAGCATGCTTGGATTTCTTGCACATAAAGAGGTTAAAAAAGAGTTTTATTGAATAATTCACGAATAAATCATGTTTTAAAGTACCAAAAATATTAACCTGGGGAATTCGCATTTCCATAAATATATCAAATGAGCTCTTTTATACAGTTTGTTTGAAAATTTGATTTCGAAAAAACTTAAATTAAGGCCTTCCAGGCTTGAACTACAAGACCGTGGAATATGATATTTTTAATGCGCTAAATACCTTATATAATAACACGCTATACGATATATAATGATCAGTTGTCAATGCTTTACTCCAGCCGATCGACCATTAGGCCGTAGGATGAGCATCCAAAAGATGCTTAGAAAACGGATTCCGTTGCACCCCTCGTGAAACTACATAATTTTCACATGAATCAATAGATAAAAACTTACTTTATCAGAATCCGTCGCTCCCCAAGCGAAACAGGTGCACAATTGGGAAAACAATCCCTCCAAAGTTTGCTATATTCGCGCTTCGAAATATTCAAATCGCCATTGTTTTAGTAGCAAATGCGCATGCGCTTGTCAGCCAAACTCGCACTGCGCACGCGCATAAGCACGCACATGCTTCGAGTTATGCAAAATAATCATGGCTGAAGATATTTATAACACTCGAATATCCTCATGTTTTATTCATTTTGATGGCGTTACGGAGCAACTTTGCAAAGTTACACGCCAAAGGCTTAAGAAATTTCTTGAGTGTAGGTCCAAATGGGCCAAACTTAAATGTCAACAAGCTGAAATAGCTAAGAAATCTTACGAAAACATCGATGACGGATCTGTCAATTCATACATGGAGAAGAACCCTGACAGCATTAACTTAGAATGGTACCATCATATGAAATGCTGGAAGAGATTTTGTGATGAAGAGAAGATCCGTAGACAACAGCGAAAGGAAGAAAAAGGAAAAGGCACTAGCTCTGAAACTGTAACTCCTACCAAGGCCTACATGTGAAGTGGAACCAATGGAACCAAGGCGAAAAATTACACGACAATCAGTCGCAGACGTTAATAAGACCCTGCCTAAAAGAAACGAGCATGTACTTCCAGAGATATGTATTGTTTGTGGAAGAGATTCCTCTTGGTTCTCACTAGACAAGGTATGGTCATTTTGATAGATATAATTATACTAGTGCAATGTGCACTAGTAGCTAGTGCAATGTGCACTAGTAGCACAGCATTCTCGAGTTTGGTTTTAAAATATCTTGAATTGTGGTCAATAAGTTTATTTAGGCTTAGGGTAAAGTAGTTTCTAATGCTACAAACATCCAACTGTGTTATTAGCAGATATTTTTTAATAGTTTTGTTCACACCAGGTGACTAAGAAGAGAAGAAGAACCCCACTCATGTTGGCAGAAACAATTGATGCTGGTCTTCTACGTACAGCTGCCGAGAGAAAGAATGATGAACGGATACTCGTGCAAATCCGGGGGAAAGACTGTGTAGCACTGGACGTCCGCTATCACAAAGTTTGCTACTGCAATTATACAAATTTTCTCACCAGAGAGACAAAGAAGCAATTGGAGACTGAAAGATCTACAGTGTACGAGAAGTCTTATGATGTCTTCTGTAAGAAAGTAATCGAGACTGAGGTCATCGCAAATAAGCAAATAAGGTACATGAAAGATTTGCTGGAGAAATTTGTTATCATTGCTAAGGACACCGAGAATGTGGATGCATCTAAATATAGAGCTTTTAAACTCAAGCAACGACTGATGAAAAGTTATCCCCAACTTGTGTTCTATGTACCGAAAATGAGAAATGTTAGTGAGATTGTATATGTGGAAAATTTGGATTCTTCCGAATTGGTTGAGGAACATATGTCAAACAAGTCAGAAAACAACGATGAAGACTTTGATGAAGAGAGCTATACCGGTACCATTATGATGATGATCTGAATTCCAACACAGAAACTGAGGGAAATTCTAAAGTCAATGAGTTACAAATTCTATACAATGCTGCATTGATTCTTCGCCAAAAGGTCCAAGATATACCAAAACTGAATCTTCCTTGGCCACCATTGGCATCTGATTTGACAATGGATAATGTGCAAAAAGTGGTTCCATGTGAACTTTTTAATGTATTGGCTTGGACTTGTGGATTCTCTTCAGAGCCAACTTTAAGTGAGTACGTGCCAATTGAGGGCAAGAACAGTTCCAAACTATCAATTGTACAAGACCTTGTGAATTTAGCATCTGGGGGAAGGAATCCTACACCCAAGAGCATAGCACTTGCCATGGCACTTAGACAACTGACAGGTTCAGCCTCAGTAATTTCTCTATTGAGTGGCTTTGGACATTGCATGTCACACTCATTTGTATTGTGCCATGAAACTGCCCTTGCACAGATGAATATATCCAATGATTCTGCCAAATTTGGTAGGAAATATTTTTGCTTTTCGGGAAGCAAATTTTGTTTCTGCATTAAAAGCCAATGTTTCCAGATGTGGGAGACAGGGAGACATTGGAGCAAACATTGAAAATCACGAATATTTTCGCGACAATGTTTCTTGCTGCGTTTGGCCAAGGCTATATTTAAGCGAAATATTTAACTTGTTTCTTGATTGTGTGAGTTGTATGTATATTTATATATTCTCCGTCCTGTTTGATACAGGTGGGTTTTTTACCTCACAAATTTTTATTGAATTAAGATGTTAATAAGTAGAATTATACGTTAAAACGGTATTTTGAAACAATAGCCAATAAATTGAAGTGATTTAGCATATGAGCAAGCAAAATGTACAATGTGTTTTAACAATATTTATTGTGTGTGTATTTATTCGTTAATATTACAAGGTTTGATCTTTATTCCGTGATTTTATTTTGTTATTTTTACACGGGAAATCGGGGAAAACCCACAGGGAAAATCCATTTTTCCTGTCTGCGCGTGCGCAGTGCGAGTTTGGCTGACAAGCGCATGCGTATTTGCTACTAAAACAATGGCGGTTCGAATATTTCGAAGCGCGAATATAGCAAACTTTGGAGGGATTTTTTTCCCATTTGTGCACCTGTTTCACTTGGGGAGCGACGGATTCTGATAAAGTAAGTTTTTATCTATTGATTCATGTGAAAATTATGTAGTTTCACGAGGGGTGCAACGGAATTGCATCTTTTGGATGCTCATCCTACGGCCTACATGTATTTCGCTATTTAACGGTTGATTCTATGACATTTATCGTTATAAACTTACCAGAACTATCCGAGGCAATCTTTTCATCACGTATTCTGATGTAGTAAATGATTTCAATACAAGATTTTGTTCAATTTCAATAAAAATTATCATTCACGCGATGTGCATCACCAATCTTCACTCCTTGTTTTCAAATCTCCATTATGAATATATAATGAGAGGAATTTAACTCCAAAAACGGAGTTAATTTCTCTAACCCCTCTAGATGGGATTATTTTGGCATACTAATCAACGTTCGAAGACCTCGTTACTCCACCGAGGAGTTAATATAACTCTAAAAGTGGTGTCAAAATAGCACCAAAATTTAACACCCCGAAAAATGAAATTTGGGGGTGTTAAAATAACTCCCTGAAAATAACAGTGAATTGACGTTGCGTTTTGTACGAATAGTAATGAATATATAGTTTAATTATCTGCATGTCAACGGTAGCTACCACACTATAGCTAAGAAACCTAGCTTGCCTAGAAACTTTGGTATTTAAAACTGGTTTTAAAACTTATTCAAATCGGACAAGTTCAGTGGCTTTGTAAACGGTCGTTCTGCTTAATAACTGTTGGGTAATACTGAATTTTAACTATTCTGCATTGGTGATTAAGAGCATACAGTTTCATATCTTTTGCAAAAAAAGATATTTAAAGATTTTTTACAAAATATACCATGCACTCCGAAGAATACTCATGGACGCCATGCAAACATGTATCTTTTATATAATATCATTAGGAGTACGTTGAATATGATTAGTTTCAAAACATCAATCATACTTCATGCAAGGCAATTATTCTCACACAGTTGCATGCTTCACATGCGCATGCATCTAAAGTAAAATAGACGGTAAAAGGTAATATTTGGTCGGGCTACCAAAGTTTTGTATACAGCCGGAGCTAATGGAATAACGGAGTATTTTACCAATGGGGTTGGACATTTATTCAAATGCCGTCTTTTGTTTTTTTTCAATCTTCTCGCTCAGTGTCAAAGAAAGATCTTTTGCATTATGATCAACTTTTGATCTATGTAAGAAAATGCAACAAAATCACCAGAGCTTAAAAGAGCGTAGTAAGTAGTAGAAATGCAAAGTTTGGTAACGAAATATTGTAAAATACGCAAAATATAGCTTTGTAAATCTGGCAAATTTTGTATAGATGTTAGAGTCTCCCCGCCCATTCCCAATTTTTCGGAATAGATATTGACGCCATTTGTCCCGCTATGTAAATTTCGATTTATTATATAATTAATAATTTCTTTAGAAATTCATTGCTTTCACAGTCAATGAACACCAAAATATTAGCATAGGTCAACTAGGTACTATCGAAAACGATTTCGAAAAATATAACATCGCCCCAAAAAAATATAAGATCTTAGATTGCTTATAAGTATATTATTTTACTTTGTTTTAGATTAGTGATATTTTCAGATTCACTATACGTATACTTCCTGAATGGCAGAAGCATTTTCCGTAACTGGAGAAGCTTTCCGAGCTACTGCATCGGTCACTGGGGGAAAATTTGTGATCACCATCGGCACTGACAATGTAGAAGTGGCAAGAAGTGTGCAAAACAGTCACTAAACTAGGCCTAGGTCTAGGTGCTCTCTATGCTGGTTATAGTTTGTTAAAACCATTAGTAGATGCTGCAGTTACAAAAGCTCTGGGTGGCAAACGCGATGATCAGGACGCACGTGACATTCGACCAGGATGTTTGTATGTTGACTTACATTGTTTCACAGACGAAAGGTTTCTGGAAGTCTTGGCGGATTACGAATCAGGAAGGATGAAGGAACGCTTGCAGGAAGAACTGACGTTGGTTGGAATTAAAGTGAAAGGACTTAAGGTGAAGATTGAGAACATGGAGAAGGTGAATGAGAGAAGGGCCGCCATAAAAACGAGGCATATAATCGACCAAATAGCGAGTTGACTTAATTTGCCGGTGCGAGTGAGAAAGTATGATTACGTGCGACATGCCAGTCGCGGGGTAAGCAGACCAATCATGCAGCTCATTCGTTAGTCTCATTTCGTGTCCCGCTTCGCCGAGCTAACTTGTGAAAAAGCGATTACAGTTGTTGGCAATTTCTATCTCGTCTAATCAAGTTGACTCGCAAAGCTAGGACCGTGGTCCCGGACAAGACGAAACAACTCGCTCGCTTCCCAAGTAACCCAAATGCTTATAATTATTTAGGTTAAACATTTAAGAAGCGGGTCACTCAGCAAAGCGGTCCAACTCTTTTAGCCGGGTCAACTCGCCTCATGTAATCGACCGCTAAGTTCATTTGCGAGACTGCAATATGAAACAGAACATAATTTATATATACTGCTGGGCTACCTATTGTTGGGTAGAACATTTTCTGCAAGGTTTTTTAAACTTCTCTCACATATCAGAAAAGTAGACATTTTGTAAATGTCTTCATCTGTCTGCAATGGGGGTATATTCCCTTGAAACAACCCCGAAAATTTGCGACGACTCAAGGTAAAATCCCGAAGGTACAGTTCGGATTTCTACAGATAGGGGACGGAAGTATTTTCAACCCGGGGTTAGTATTTGTGAGAATAAAAAACAAAACAAGAGCACTGGGGTTTTATTGTAAATCAGGGCTGAGAATTATCTCATGCTGCCAGAAAACCAAAAAAATAATTCCTTAGGGTTTTTTTCTGTTATTTTATACTATAGATTCTTTTAATGTAGGGGAACAAGCAACCGCAAAATGCAGTCTTTTACACATCCAGAATTATATCGGATTGCTGTAGAAATTCGAGGGAATTGGGAAGATTTTGCTCTTCTCACTGGGAAATTTGACATTGCCGAAATTACGAACATTCAACTTGATAACAACTACCATGACAACGTGCAGAAGGCAATCAACATGTTGTTCCATTACACGCACGGGGGAGGCTCCAGGGAAGGTTTAGTCAAAGCTTTGAAAGAAGCGAAGAAAAATGATTTAGCGGGCAAAGTTCGATCCAAGTATTATCAAAAGTGTAAGTATTGTTTTTACAAGTTTTTCGAGTTTTGTTTATTATATTTATGTACATAGCAGTTTGGCCCTTCGTATATAAAAAGTTGAGATGACGTACTATGAATGCAGGAGGTCATCATGCCAGCAATATTTAAGGCGCTGAAGTTAGACAGAACGATGAATTCTTTGATGCGCTTTTTACCTCGCCTAGCCAGGATAACTCGCTCCAGATAAACATGCATGCAGGCTCTCAGTCATTAAATATTCGTCTCGTTAGCTAGAAATAGATTGGTTTTTTTCAGTCAACTAACTCTAAAATATTAGCATAGCGCAACTAAATCGTTATAGGTTGCATCGCTACGTTACTGCCAGTCGCCACTATTATCATCGTATATCTTATGGAACTGCCAATATTTATAGGGTTTGAGGAGAATACCGAAATTCAGCCATCTGCAACCACTTCGAAAGAAATTCTTCAGTTACCTGAAAGTAAGCTTCAAGTGAAGTCAGTCTTGAGACTTGTTTAACTCATTGAAAGAAAGCGGCGCTAGCCGTTTGTTGCAGTGGCGTAACTAGAACGATAATTGGAGTAGCTTACAATAGAAATCCGTCGGGCAGAACTGAATATATGAATATTCATCCCCCCCCCCCCAAGTATCGTTCTAGTTACGCCCCGATCTGTTGTTAGGATGCAGGTGAAATTTTGGCGAGTAATGATGTAAGTTTATCGAATGTAATGTTTTATGCGAATGTTCAAAGTACTGCATTTTACAAAGCAACCTTTATTTAATATAAGTTTCGAGCCTCTATAGATGTCAAGTTACGCCCACTCACTTGCTATTCTTCTCGCACTCTTGCAGTATTGCAAAATACTTCCATGAAACAAACCATGGAATAATTGCTGCATGATAACAAAACATTTTGTTGTCGCTTAAATCATCCTCGTGAATAGGAGCTTTAAGATGGGTTGTTCTTTCGTAGTCTCACTAGGTCGTGCATGCAAAAACGGATGGAATTTTTTC